GTAAATAATAACCAATTAAAGTTGTGACTTTATTGCAGAAATATATTCTGCATTTTGAAACTGACCTTTCAGGAAATATTTTAAGGCATATCTAATTGAATATCATGTAGTTGTCTTAGTTCTTCATTATTTACGTTAGTGTTTCCAGATGTGGAAAAGAATGACACAGGCACTTGAGCAGTGTGATCACACATCACAGGACCCTGTTAGTTTTTCCCTACAAGGTCATGATCATGTAGGTAGTTCAGAGGCAGATCCTTCGAGTCACAGTCAATATAGGATCATTTTCAAACTGTCATCTGGGGCTCTTGGTTTTTAATTAGCACTCGTCTTTTTATTTGTGGGCAAAGATCTGCCAAAATGAACATGAGTGATGGTTCCCCTTGCTGTTTGACTATTTGAAGTTGTTCCCTGGCAGCCAGACAGATCCATAGCTTTCCAGGAGCCAGGAATATGCATCGTCTCCTTCCAGTGAGCTTCCGTCATCAAATAATGTATTCTGTCTAGGAGAATTTATATTTGGAGAGAGAAATTTGTTTTAATGCTAGCAGTGAGAGACATCTTGCTTTCAGTATGGTGGTGTCTGGGAATGATTTGTGATTTGGATATTGAGAGCAAGTGAAAAGTATTCATACTGCTATTTAGGGCACCCATTCCAGGCGAGTAGATGAATTTGGCTTCCCTAGACATCAATCACTCACTTCTAGGTATGACCAGAACACTGGACATGAAACGAAAACCTGATATTTGGTATGGTGTGTTTTTTGAATGTTCCTACTACGTTGTCTTTGGACAACTGTGCCTTTGTTAGATGGATGGTGGTTGTGTAGAACTGCTTCTTTTCCCAGGGTAGACAACAGTTGGTGTATTGCATGCACAGTATAAACAGTCCATAGTTTACAATTAGGATGTGTTCCAGAAGTTCATTTGTAAGGCATTTGTTTCAAATTAAAAATGTGCGTGTCCTTAGTAACAGTGGTATAAATGATGTCTGGAGAAGCCAAACTAACCGCTAAAGCCTATTAAATGCATAGTATAAGGAAACTCTCATTCTTAGGCTTCATTTAAATCTGAGAAAGAGAGGAGCATCCTGTAAATAAAACAGAAGAGGAAAAAGAAGTCCTTATTTTCCCACTTTCAAGCATCTCTTTTCTCTCATCCCTTCAAGAGAGTGTTGAGGGATTTCTGCCTCAGTATCCCACACCAACTAAACAAATGTCCTTTCCACGTGCCCTTCACGTCTCAGGGTATCTTTTTCAGAATAGTCAAGGTCCGTTCTTTTGAGAATTCAGATGCTTTTACATGGCTCCCATGATCTCCTGACCCTCTGATCTTTAAGGTGTTTCCTGGCCATATGATGATGCCACAGTAAATTCTAATCAGTGCTAAGTGATGAGTAATCAAAAAGAAAAAGTGGAAAAAGATAAAAGAAATTGTTCTTCTAAATCCTTGGATCTCAACTCTAGGCTCTTTTTGCGCTTAGGGGGCATTTTGCAATGCCTGGTGATGGCTTTGATTGCCACAACTAGATCTCTCCTGGGTGGAGGCCAAGGAGGGAGGCAGAGTAACAGATAAATAGCAGAATGATCATCTACAGCCCTTATCCAGCATAAAACATCGATAGTGCTGAGGCTACAACTGGGTTTGAAGTGAGCCCCAAATTAAAGGTCGCTTATGAATGGGACCTTGGAGACATGTTGGTCAAATAAGTTGGGAAAGACAAGATGTAAGGCTTTCTTAGCTCTGTTGAGTCGGCTGGCAGTTGTAGCCAACCCCTCATTACAGACATTGAAATTAGCATACTCTTTAATTCAAAATGAATGGAATATATTGAGAACCGGCTGTTCACCAGCTGTATTGCATGAGCTAGGATCTTAATAGGGAGTGAGACAGAACTGCAGAGGCAGGGGACCAGTTAGCCAACAGGTAGGGGTGTGGGGGGGCGGCTTTCAGTAGAATATGTCTTGACTATAGAGCTGAGAACAGAGTATTGTAAGATACGGAGTATTATGAAGAATGAAATGAAGCAGAAAACCATTGTAAATAGGGGTCAAGGAGGAAATGGAATATGAATGGGTAGGAAAGAAAAAAGGCCTCTTTTTGTGTGTGTGTTTGTTTGACACAAGGTCTTATGTACCCTAGGGCAGCCTCCAACTGTATAGCCAAGTATGACCTTGAATGTCTGATCTGGGTGCTGTTGTCAGTGCATCCCAATGTCACATTTGTGCTGTGCTAGGTATTGAACCTGGGACATCATGAATATTTAGACAAGCACTGTACTGAGCCACATCTCTAGCCCAGGAAAGGCCCCATTTAAAAGGTCGCCTTTCGGTTGAATGTGAAGATAAAAGAACAAACTGGGTGGCTGTTTGAGAAGAAGAGAATCTAGGCTAAACATATAGCAGTTGTAGAGGCCCTAGTGTGGAAGTTCATTTGGCACTGGGCTGTTGGGTAGCACCTTAGGATTTCTTGCAGTTACCTGCCTGCTGAATTCCTGAAGGGGAACTAAGTGTTCCTTTACCATGTACTGAGCAAGAACTTGTAAAAATCTGAAAAACCCAGGTAATGTCCAGTCAGCTTTGAGTACATTTTGAGGAGAGGGACATGAGGGGATGAAACATAGGATGTAAGTATTTGGGTTTCTGGAATATTGACTACTGGCTTGTGGGCTCTTTTCTGGGTTTCTAGGTCTGAAGTATTGTAGTCTGATGTGACAGTTGTGGACATAGACATTTTGCATACACATGTCAGCTAAATGCACCACTGTGCAGTCCTGACCAGAGGTGAATGGAATGCGCAGGCAACAGTGGTTGAGACCTCTGAGTGTTGTCTGTGGAGATGCTCTGTGCTCACACTGTAGAAAGTGGGACCTTAATCTCTAGAGGAACAGTCCCTGCTTTGTTGGAGACTTCGCTCCTCCTAGTTGTCTCTGGCACAGCAATTAGAAATCATGTAGGAAGTGTGTGGATTCAGAAGGTTCTTGTCTATGCTTTTAGCTTTGTGTTTATCCCTGTGCTCCACTGGCACAGTGTCAGCTGTTCATGGTTTAAATTAAGGTCTTTGATCCACTTTGAATTATAAATGAAAACAAGAATGAGGGGAAGAGGAGCTCATTGGCTGCAAGTGGGAGTGTAGACTTGTGCAGCTACCATGGAAATCAGTGTGGAGATTTCCAAACAAGAGAAAAAACTACAATGTCACCTACGGTAACATCCCTGAGCATATACCCAAAGATGTACCACAGAGAAACTTACATGTCCCTGCCTATTGCATATCGCTGCCTATAGCAAGGAAATTGAATCAACCTAAAACGTCCATCAACAGAGCAATGGCTCATGAAGCTGTTTTGCATGTACACAATGGACTTTTATCCATCTGTAAAAAATGAAACTATGAAGTTTGCCGGAAAATGGATAGAATTGGAAAATATTGTATTCAGGTAACCCAGGTTAAAAAAGACAAGCACCATAAGCTCAATCATATGCACAGTCTAGCTTCTAATGGTTACACGAAACTAGAGAGAGAAGCTTGAGAAGGGGACGAAAAATCAGCTTTAAGAAAGGGGGTTGGGAGGGTGAAAGTAAAAAATGGAGTATTAGGGATAGGGGCATCAGAACAGAAATGTGCAGAGAGATGGGGGAAAGAGCATGTCTGGGGGAATCAACCAAAATTAATATGAATAAAAATGCTATAAGGAAACCAGTTAATTTGTATGCTAACATAAAAGAAATTGAAAGTTGTTTTTATTTTTGTTTTGTTTTAATGTGGCCACTTTCCCCAGTTTTTACCTTTTGATCCACTTAGGACACAGTGCTTTACATATCGCAGCCAAGAATGGCCACCCGGAGTATATCAAGAAACTCCTTCAGGTAAGCAGGTAACTCACAGGTCTGTCTGTCTATCTACCTATCTACCTATCTACCTATCTACCTACCTACCTACCTACCTATCATCTGTGAAAGGAGAAATAATTCTTCTCAGCACATACCCCGGTTAAAACTATCCTATAGCCCACTTGTAAAGAACAGCCAATGATAAGGTTGTTTCCATGGCAACTCTACTAGAAGAAAAGTGTATCCTCCCCAAAATTTGGATTACCTCTCTGGGATTGGCTTTATTACCCCCTGTTCAGTTCTTCTTTTCCAAACTGTAGTAACCCGGGCTCGCTGGCTCTGCGGTGTCCTGTGCTCTCTCTGTAAATTGCTCATGGGGTGCAGTCCTTCTGGATTAACAGTTTCAACCATTATCCTTGGTCTGTAACTCGATGAGCTTTTAGTTAGTTCTTGGTTCTTGCTTAAGTGCTCACATTTAGTCTTATTTATAATTTTTAGCCAATTCCCTGGTTTGCTGACTCTGCCAGGAAGTTTATAATGATCCCTTGAGGTGATGACCTCTGCAAATTTGTAAAGATACATATTTCATGAACTACTCTCTCAACCCCTGCTCCATAGCATCCCTACAGTAATGTCCAGCTGTTGCCAGTCAAAATGCAAGCTGGCTATTTTTCAGGAGCAGCATGGAGCAATAAAAAAGTGTTTGCAGTACTGTCTGCCCTGTCAGGCTATTTTCCTGGCCCTCGAAAGCACTCTTTTTGAGACTCAGCGTCTTGCTTTCATTTGGCTTTGAAATGCTTGGGACAAACCATGGTCGCATTCATCAACTTGCTGCATTGATCACACAGCTCCTTGTCTTGTCCTGCATGATACCCACTACTGCCCATTCTAGGAAAGTTTAACCTTAACGAGTCTTTGAAACAAAATTCAGGAAAAATAGATCTGTGTTTGTGATGTTGACTTAGGAGAGTCACTTTTGACCAGTTGACATGGAATTTTCTTACTGCCTTCTGCAGGACCAGGTCCTCAGGATAAGAGGGGAGAGGTGACTCATTTGCCCAGAGTGCCCTGCATCTCTCCACCCTGGGTCCTACCTCACTTTTTTAAAGTATGTTTTAAATTCCCATTCTGTTCTAGTCCATGCATCTGGCTCTGATTTTAAGGAAGATTTAACCTGACATGCTCGAAGTCCTTGTGGGCTAGGACCAGATATTCTAGCCTCTAATGTAATTTTATATCTGGTTATGCAAATACTTTGGTTTTTCTCTGAAATCTTTGAAGCCTTTAAATAGTTCCTTGTGCTGGTCTAAAATTAGGCCAAAGCCTTGGTAAGTAGTAACCTGATCTCCATCCCTCTAACTACAACAGAGGAAGCATTCCACCATAAGGTAACCTGTTCTTACCCCCCCTGGCCTGCGCTTCGTCTGGCCAAATATTGCTCTTTCTAGATTCCTGTTAGGACTCCAGCCATCCAAGGCCTCCTACTGGGCTTACATAGCAGACCTCTCCACCAGTGGTTTGCCCCTCTGCAAACCAGGCTGTGTACAAATGAGACAGACCCCTTTGTTTCCTGCTCTCTTCATCCCAACACCTCTGCATTTAGTGTTCTCTCTGAGACCTTGCTCTTGAACCCTGTGCATTGGTCCCTAAGCCCTGTCTGTCTGCTGAAGATAAGTCTGCTCTCTGGTTGTTGCCAGTTGCAGCTCCTAGCTCTTTAAGGCAGTTAGCACAAATAGAACTTTATGGAGTCCTGCAAATCCCAATGACTTCTCTTCCTTGCCTGTGTAAGTCCTCCTACCCTCCCCTAGATCAAGTGTTCTCAGGGTACAGTGCATGGTGCTAAACAGTATCTACCAGCAATCAGGCAAGTTGCTGTCTTTGTGGAGTTCAGAGTCTGGTTAATAAGGAAAGGAACATATGCTACAAATTGCAGAGTACTAAGAAGGAAAGTGGTGGTTTCTAGGGAAGCCCTCAAGAGAAGGTGATATTTAAGTTGAGATCTCCAATGGGCAGAAAACTAGTGGAACACATTCCAAACAGAACAGCAAGTCCTGGGGCTTGGATAGTGGGGAGAAAGCCAGTGAATGAGTCAGAGGCAAAGATGTGAGAAAATGTGGTACAACATACAGGGCCTTGTATGTCAAGATATGCAAGCTAAGTAATTCTAGGTTCACTGTGGAATTCTGAAGGGCAGACACTGACAGTTTTATAAGTCGATTCTTTTGTGTAGGGAAGTGGGTAAGAGGGGACAAAACAATTGAGGAGACTCATTGGAGGCTAGACTAAGCTGTTCATATAAGTAGATGCTGCCTGGGGCTAGGATGAAGGTACTGAGAAAAAGAAGAAGGCCTCTCTCATCTATGATTTGGGGAAAGGATCTACAAGATGTGGTGGGTGAGATACTAGAAGAGGAAGAGGAGGAAGAGAAATCACAGTTAATTCAGTTTCGATCTCATTGGGTAAATTGCCAATGGTGGTTGGTGTTCTCAGAGGTGGTAAAAACTCAGGGAGGAACAGGCTGGGAATGGAGGAGTGGAAAATTTGCCTTTTGAGTGCTTGTGAGATATCAAACCAGTGTTGCCAAGCAGGTTTAGTGGGTTCTCAAGCCTCACAGGGCACTCACAGGTGACACTGTATATGAATAAGTATCCAGGCTCTAACAGGTTCAGATCCTGGCTTCACCACTGCCATAATTCAAGCAATTGATTAACTTATTTATACATCAGTTCCCACTGACGATGACTACAGAGAGAGTCATCCAACTTGGGTTGTTAGCAGACTTAAAGGAATTCTTGATTCACAGCCTGGCACACAATACTTGACATAATACTTGCTGCTGTTGTTGGGTTCTACATCTGTTGCTTGCAGTCACTAACATCTGGATGTAGGTGTAGATGGGATTACCAAGAAGAGAGCTTCGGAGAAAATCAATGACAAATGTGAGGTTGTATGTTTTGTTAGAGGAGGGGGGGCGCTGTCCAGAGTAGTAGGGGAAGCCACAAGAGGCAGAACCAGACAGAGAGCCTCCAGGAGGAGGAGGGGGAAGAGAGCAGGCCGCTGCTCCAAGAGTGGTCGGAGAAATGTGTTAAAAGTGAAAGACTGCTGGTGACCTTGCATAGGCCATCACTATGGGATCCTGAGGGCAGGTGACTAACCTAAGTGGATTCCTGCGTGAGTGGGAGACAAGGAAACAGAGTCACTGTGTAGGTGACTCAGGGAAACTGGTTTTAGGAATGGGATAGAGAATGAGAGGAAATGGGAAATATAGGATCCACATGGGAGATCTTAGAGCATGTTTGTTAGCTGCTGGGTTAGATGATGTAAAGGAGGAGTGAATGACTAGATCAGGAAACAGGTGACCGTAGCTAATGACATGGTTATTTGGGTATGTATCTCATAAAGGACTGTGGGCTCACAGAGCTCAGAAGGCAGGATTTATGCATGTGTGTGACTCTCTGAATAAGTGGTGCTGGAAGGAAAAGGATGGACTTGATGGTATTTGTACGGTTACTTTAAGAAACTTATTTTTGTCTCACAGTACAAAAGCCCCGCTGAAAGTATTGACAACTCCGGGAAAACAGCTTTACATTATGCAGGTAACATTCACTCCCTTATGTGTCCATTCTACTCTAAGAAACTGTTCAGTTGTCACTCAACTTACGGTACTATTCCTGTGGCTGATTTCCGTAGTTCCCAGACATTCCCATTTTACTCCATTTGTAAGTCACACACAGATTCATTTAGGAGTGCACCTATAGTTTCCTGCCATGCAACCAGTTAAGTGGTTAATATATTCAGCTCAGGCTTAGAGTAAGCTCAGTGAGAAGGTGTGTTTGGCATGTGCAAGGCTCTTTGTGCTTAGCATGTGCAAGGCTCTGGTTTGAAGCTCCAGTACTAAGTATGTATGTACCCATGCATGCATGCATATGTATATAGATTTTAAAATCAATTTAAAGTTCCTTATAAAGTAGACAGTAATGAGCAGTTGTGGATTTCAGGGCTATAAGATGCTGATTTATGTATTTTTTTATTTAATTTGGGGACCACAATAAACATCAATTGTATTTGTCCACCTTCGGTTTTACTGTCTTGTCAGAGCTTCAAGTGACAGATGTTGATACTGAATTCACTGGGTAATTAAGTATATAATTAATTTTATTTCTAGTTGTAGAAAAGCCAAGTCCTGTGAGAAGCTAAATCATATGCTTGCCTACAGGTAACTGGGAGTCCGTGGCTGTAGCTTTGGCTAACGTGGAAATTAAGCAGTGTTTGCACACACCTGTGGCTTAGCCTTGCTCTTCTGTGCTGTTCACCTGCTGGGCAGAGAGTGAACTCTTCCTTCCTAGAAGTGGTAATCTGGGTTGTTTGTGACCAGTTGTGTTTTTCCTTCCCCAGCGGCACAGGGATGCCTTCAAGCTGTGCAGATTCTCTGCGAACACAAGAGCCCCATAAACCTCAAGGACTTGGTAGGTACCAGGTGGACTCTGAGGGAAACGGGGTGCGGGTTTCTAATGAGACTTTAAAGACCTTAGTGTTTGGCAAAACTCTATTCCTTTTCAGCCAGAAATCATTCTGCAAAATGGTTTTATATGTTAATACTTATGAATCCCTAAACTGTCCGTATTTTGGAGTGTGGTCCTTAGATATGTGTATTTTTATAAGTCAATGTTGGTGTTCTACCATTAACCCAAATGTGAATAAAACTTTGTGTCTCAGCTTATAAAAATAGAAAATTTTATATATCACTTGTCTTGTTGCTGTGACAAAGTATTCGACCACAGTGGCTTAAAATAGGAGGGATTCATTTTGGCTCTCACTTTGAAGGTGCAGGGAAGTCATGACCGTAGGAACTTGAGGGAGCTACTTCCACTGCATCCATAGTCATGAAGCAAAGGGGGACTAATGCTATTTCTGAATTTGCTTTCTTCTTTCTAGTCCATTCTAGCTGTTATGGTGGGTCTTCCTACCGAATCTAACCTAATTTAGAAAGTCCCTCCCACAGATGTCCATAGATTTGTCACCAAAGGGAGTCTAACTCTTCTCAAGGTGAGGATCAGTGTAAACTGTCAGAGATATCTAGTTAGAAATTCTGTTGTTTTCTTTCATGGTATCACCTTGGATGATTCTTAGTAGAATTTTCCAACTCCGAAGAGAACTTTTAGTCTTTTTAAACTTCACAGGCCTATTATGAGAATACATTTATATGCCTTTGGCATGTGGTTCCAGGGTCTAATGACATGCTGTAGCAGGAAAATTGGCACATAATTCCTTGCTCCTGATCAAGCAAATACGTTTCCACTTTCCGAACCTCAGCATAGGCTAAGTATCTGTATTCCAAAAGTCCCCAAGTCCATGTACTGAAACTTGTATTTCATGTAGATAGCTGAAATGTATAAACTACAAGGTGTTTTATATGAAAAAAATATAAAAATGAACTTCATATGTAGCCTTGGGTACTTTATTATGCAACCAGCCCCAAATCCCCGTATTCTAAATTCTGGAATACTTCTGTCATTGGTTTGTTTTGGTTTGGCTTTTTTTTTTTTTTAGATTATGTATGAAAGCGTTTTGCATACACGTATGTATGTGTACCACATGTGTGCCTGGTGCCTGCAGAGGCTAGAGGGCATCAGATCCCAGGAACTGCAGTTATGGATGGTTGGTTATGAGCTGCTACAATTATATCTGGGTGCTCTGGAAAAGCAGCAAGTGTTGTTAAGCTGAACCATCTCTCCAGCCCCACTAGTTTTATTTTTTCAAAGTCTTCATTTAAATTTTTTCCATGTATTATTATTGGGGGATGCAACATGCATGAAGTTAAAGGACATAGTGAGCAAGTCAGTTCTCTCTTTCCTACACGTGGGTGCCGGGGATGGCATTCAGGGCTTCAGCAATAGCAACACTTGCCCTTAGCTGTTGATCCATTCTCCAGCCCCAATTTACTTCCGTCTGAACACACTTAGTGTGAATACGCTCTTACATTAGAGGTGGAGCTAGTGATAGGTAATGGAGCTAGCAACCTTAATAGCTGGATTTCTAGAGAAAAGCTAAAGTCAGTGAAATTGCCTAAGACTTATGGTTAAGTGGAAGGGTAGCCCTAAAGGGGCATAGAAAGCCACACTAATGAAAGCATAGCCTCCACAGTACAAGTCCTGAGAAAAATGTGGAAGGGTGAGGTATTGCAATCCTGCTGTTTGGAGTTGGAGTTACAGTCTGCGGTTTTTCTCCTAGGATGGGAACATACCCCTGCTTGTGGCAATACAAAATGGCCACGGTGAGGTCTGCCACTTTCTCTTGGATCATGGAGCAGATGTCAATTCCAGGGACAAAAATGGAAGGTACCACAAGTTAAGGCAGAAGTCGTAACTTCAGTGATACCCATTTATTTTAGTGTTATAAAGTGGTTTCCTTCTTTTTAACTTTACCTTCCTGATAATTGAGAGTATGTTTTGACTAAGAAGAAAAAAAAAAAATCCTGCAGGCTTACCTGCATGGGCAGAGTTGCTGGTTGGATCTGCAAAGAAACTACATAAATATTGAATTGAATAAGCCATTTCCTGTGGTTTTTTTCATTCTAAACAAACAAAGGTAAATATACTGAATGTATTTAAAAATAATTTTAACCTGGGCGGTGGTGGAATATACCTCTAATCCCAGCAACTTGGGAGGCAAAGGCAGGCAAGTCTATGAGTTTGAGGCCAGCCTGGATTACATAGTGAGTTCCAGGACAGCCAGGGCTACACAGGGAAACCCTGTTTCAAAAGAAAAAAACCCAATAATGATAATGGTAATAATAATAAATAATTTTAAAGCTGGGTGTGGTGGCACATTCCTTTAATCTTAGCATTACAGATGCAGAGGCAGGAGAATTGCTGAGTTCAAGGCCATCCTGGTCTACAGAGCAAATTTCAGTACAACCAGGGCTACTCAGGGAAACCCTGTCTTGAAACAATAAAATAACAATAATTTTAATAATGTATGTGCTTGAAAATAATAGAGGTGAAAGAATCTGGCCTTTTTTTTTTTTTCCAATCACAGGAAATTCTGTCATTGTATACCATATATAGTTTAACATTTTGATTTAGTCTAAATTTTTAAGAAATAACACCTTATTTCATCTTGACAGTTTTCCACTTAATTCCCCAATGACTGAAGATTTAACTGCATTCAATCCCTGTTTCATTGTTTTCAAGACAAGTGCGTCTCGGGAAGGCATTTCCACCTTTGATTATACTAAACTGACATCTCCTTTTTCTCCAGAACTGCTCTCATGCTGGCCTGTGAAACTGGCAGCTCGAACACTGTGGAAGCCTTAATTAAAAAGGGTGCAGACCTGGCCCTTGTAGATTCTCTTGGACACAATGCCTTATATTATTCCAAACTCTCAGAAAATGCAGGAATTCAAAGCCTTCTATTATCAAAAATCTCTCAGGATGCTGGTATGTAAAAGAAAACAGCCAATGTTTTTTTGGTTTTTTTTTTTTTTGGTTTTTTTTTTTTTTAATTTACCCACTCATTTTCCCCAAAAGGGTAAAGGAATTTGTGCAATATGATACGGTTTATTATTCTTTCAGATATATACTTGAAGAAAAACAAAATGTTAAATGTTATGTATGGGGTGTGTGTGTGCACGCGCGCACACGCACGTGCATGTATCCACCCACCCAAAATTTGTAAAAGATATGTGTCATTATAATTCTTATAGTCTTTTTTTCCCCACTTTTTTTCTTTAGATGTAAAGACCCCAACAAAACCAAAGCAGGTATTTATCTTGGGGATGAGATGTTAAATATTTTTTTAAATTTTTGCTTGTGACAATATGAAAATGTTGAGAATAAATGCTGTGGTTCCTTAGGACAGTGATTAAAAACTGGGTTGAAAATTCTGAAGGAAAGACTGACATAATTTCGAGTGAATGATTCATTGTTGCATGGTGGCAAATAATTTAACAATTTTATTATATTGTTTGAAAAATAGGTACTTCATACTGCATTTTTTTAATGAAGTGCAGTAATAACAGATGTGGGAAAATATTCAGTGTGGTTAAATCTTGAAACTAAATGAAAATATGTTAAATATATCCTATGGAAAAATATATATATATATATAT